ATAACTTGATTATCTATGGAACATCAGAAGAACAACCTGGGACTGGTATAAATGTCCTGGAAAAATGCGAAATGTCCGGAGCATTAGTTTCAATATACAAAGGACATCCAAAAAGCACTCACATAAATGTTTTGGAGAAATTCGAAATGACCAGGATTATCTACGGAACGCCAGAAGAACAACCCTGGTAGCGGTATAAGTGTCCCGAAAAAATGCGAAATGTCCAGACCAATAACTTGATTATCTACAGAACACCAGATAAACAACCCTAGTAGTGGTATAAGTGTCCCGAAAAAAGTGCGAAATGTCCGGAGCATTACTTTCAATATACAAAGGACATCCAAAAAGCCCTTGCATAATGGGACATCAGAAAAACAACCATGGTAGCCATGTAAATGTCCGAAGAAAATGTGAAATGTCCAAAGCATTGATTTAAATACCCACAGGACATCCAAATAACACCCCTGGATGTCCCGGAAAAATGCGAAATGTCTGGGGCATGACTTTTCTTACCCACAAGATGTCAAAAAAGCAACACTGGTGTCCATATAAATGTCCCAGAAATGTGAAATCTATGGAGCAATAGTTTTAACATCCACATGACATTAGAAAAGCAACCCTGGTATCGATATAAATGTCCTGGGAGAATGCAAAATCTCCCGGGCAATAGTTTAAATTCACTGGACCTCAAAAACAACTCTGGATGTCCCGAAAAAAATGTAAAATGTCTGGGGAATAACATTTAATATCCACAAGATGTCAGAAAAGCACCCCGGTGTCCATATAGGACTCTGGTTTCTAGTTAAATCTCCTGAGACAATGTGAAGGTCTTGAAATGAAGAGTATGATATTCTAGGACAGATAACCTTCCTGTGGCAAGAAAGATAAAGTGCCTATGAGCTTTTCCTAGGATGTGCATGAGCTATTCCCCCAATTTCTAGTACCCAAAAGCAATGTATAAAATCACTCAGATAACCAAGATATCAAGCATGGAGGTCCTTATGCACTTTGCAGAAAATGCTGATGTTCTCTCACTTTGCAGAACTTGGTGATGTTCACTTGTAGATGAGGTCGTTCAATGGCATTCAGTTCATACAATGGAACTTCAGACAATTGTGGACATGCAGAATGCTTTGCGGATGTCCCAATTAGTGTTCCATGCATTTCGCATTTTTTCGGAACATTTACATGGACATCCAGGGTGCCATTCGGATGTCCTGAATCAATGTTCGTGTGCTTTTTGCATGTCTCATGTATATTCCAATTAACAGATGTCCCATATATATTCCAATTCATGTTCTGGGACATCCAAGGTGCTTTTTGGATGTCCTGTGTATAGTCCAATTAATGTTCCGGGCATTTCGCATTTTTTTCAGGACATTTATCCAGACATCCAGGATGTTTCTCAGATGTCCTATATGTATTCTAATTAATGTTCCAGGAATTTTACATTTTTCCGGAACACTCATATGGACATCCAGGGTGCTTTTCAGATGTCCTGAATCAATGACCATGTGCTTTCTGGATGTCCCGCATATATTTCAATTAACATTCCAGGCATTTTGCATTTTTTTTGGAACATTTATGTGGACAGGAAAAGCAATGGGGGGGGTGGTGAAGGTGTGGATGGAAGCAGTGATGGCTGGGGTGATGACGGTAACATGGAGGATGAAGATATCAATGTTGACCCAATCGATGCATTCCACGGCTTCATTATGCCACTTCTCTACCCATGGAAGCAATCTGGATCAAGCAATACCAAGTGGGACATCACAATTGAATGTCTGCTAGCCGTATACAGCCTTAGGACTGATGGAAACTTTTGGTCAGCGAACGATGTGACCCCTACATTGTCCAAGACACATTATCACATATGTCGCGCCATATTTTATGAAGCATGAAGAAGGCTAAAACTTGGCCAGTTTGGTGGCAATGCCTATCAGTAAGCTGCTACTTTCCTTGGAAACTAGTCTCGCTTTTGGTGGCTGTTGACTTGTCAGACATCGTTGGACCAGACACACACTTTTTTGTTGCCATTGTCATTGAGGAATTTAAGGGAATGATTTGTTTGCTTGTTGATGTTGTGGGGCTAGTTTTGGGGGCATTCATATTTTTTGCCGCTGTGTCAGTATTTTTGGGGCTGGCCTGGAAGACCTTGACTGGGATTTGTTTGTCATCAGGTGAGTATGCGGTCCCCTCACCCCCCAATGCTCACTGTTCCAGCTGCCACGTTGCAACCAACAGATGACAACAACAACGTGGCCCACCACCATCCACAAGAGCCCACCACACCCACACAACACACCCACAACACACTAGGGCACCACCCTGCCCACGAAACACACCCAGCACCCACAAAAAACAGCCCCACGCCCATGAAACAACCCCCAGTGCCCA